GGCTTTTTGCTTTTTTAGTTGATGTTCAGATAGATATGGAGAACACTTTAGAAGGAGGGAGGATGGATGAAAGAATGAAGAATGTAATGAAGAAACTACTATTTATTTCTCACTTGATAAAGTTAAAAATAGTTTACATTTTAGAGAGGAAATAATTAAGGAAAGAATAATATACTAAAATATATGCTTCTTTTCTAATTGATTATGAGTTAAAAGTGGTAAGCATTTTAGAGAAAAAGAGAAATACTAAATGAATGATATCAAACAAATGACATCATAATCAAACCATTTGAAATAAAAAAGCTGGCAATTAAATTTGTCAGGTTTGGCAACTAATCTGGATTTGTGGACTGATAGGGATGGCCGCTTTAACAAGGAAGCACTTAATAATTTGATTTAATTCCATGTCATTAAAATAATACATATACACATAATTTTAACATTTGCTATTGAATGCATCCTATATATATATATATTTTAATTTGATTAAGTTTGGATACTGAAAAATCTGAACTGCTCATTAAATCCTTCATCATAATTCATTAAATTCTGTGTCCTCTATTTAGGCAGTAGCGATCCTCCTTTCTCTCCTCTTGAGAATATTTAAACTTAAGGGTGCAATCAAAGATACGGTTAAAACTCAGAATTACAAAGACTTAATAACTCAGAAATGTTACACTTAGCAACATTATGTAGGCATCAAAATAATCAAGAAATAATATAAGTAAAATAATATATCAAAATAATCAAGAACTTATTTTAAAGTAATGAATACATTGCAGGCATTTTATATTGCTCTGTGGAATTTAAAATAGTATTTGAGGCTTTGAAATCAGAGCTGTATTTCAATAAAATAGTCCATTCATTTTAAATATATAACTTTACATTTGAAAAAGTTGCTGTCGGGAAACTTACATTGGAAAGGTTGTACAGGGTCTAAAATTAAGCCTCCTACAGAAATGTACTGATATCTTATAAGCATAAACAAAAAAAGGGAAATGATTGCATTATGTGATTTTGAAGACCTCATGGAGCTTGGCATTTCAGCAGACCATTTTTCCCCTCTGCAAAAATCATTACCGTAATTTCAGGTAGATAACCTGGCGTATGCACCACACACATGATAATTGACTAATAAAAAATGAAAGTTCATGGGATAAGCCAAACTGCAGCAAAGCATTCCGAAACATGGCAGTTAATATTCATTTATTCAGTAATTCCGTGCCATATTGATGTTAATCATAATCGATAACATTTACAAGATAAATATAATCAGTAACATATAAATAAATAAGAAAGAAATATCTTACCTTGAACTTGCTGAAAACGAACTCTGATGATTTCTAATAGATATTATTTTTACAGGTTTGATAAACTTTGTTTATCACCATAGATTACCATATTATGAAAAAAAATATGTAAATTAGATAAAAAATCAGATTTTTTTTTTATTAAGTTAAACTACATTTACTCATATTTATACAAAACCTTCAAAAGCCGACTCATCAATGTCAAAATTAAATAAATTTAACAAATGACCATCAAGGTCAATTTCATCAGTCTGTTCTAAAACACTTCTTTCAATGTCTCTATCTACACTTTCATTTTCTTTTTCGATGATTTCCGATTTAATGAAAGCTGATATATATGATTGTATCAGCTTGGACTGATTACCATGCTTTATCAACCCATAAGGCAGCCTCCTCATACGAAGCTTTTCTCATTCGTCTGGAATTTGTGATGGAATGGAGTTCGCTTTGCGTCCATTCCTTCTATTGCTTTTGTTGCTTGAAAATTCTATTGATAGTGAGATCCAACAACTGTAAAATTCTTTTTCAGCCCCACCTGTTATCACTGAGATATCGATGTTAAGTTTTTTTGCTTTGGATCTTACCGTATCCGCTGCATGGGATTGTATTGAATCCAGAACAATGAGTCCTTGGGGTTGGAAAAAAGCACCTTTCCTTTTTGGATAAATTTCTCTCAGCCAAAAGAACATCACTTCTTTGCACATCCATCCTTTTTCGTTGGCACAAATAATAACTCCTTTAGGGCAGTTTCCTTTCAGAATTGTTTTTCTTTTGAAAATTATCATAGGGGTTAACTTCTCTCCATTGGCGGTGCAACCCAAAACTAAGTAAAAGAAGTCTTTTCATTCCCAATTGTTAACACTGAAATATTTTTTTCACATATTGAATGAACAGTTCTGCTCGGAGGACAGTCAAAAGTACAAGTATCCATATTAATTATTTGCCCTCTTTTCAAATTTTGTTCTTTAATTTTCTTAGATGTGAACTCCAAAAAAGTTATCTTTTTTTGAAGCCAGTCCACAGGAAACTTTTGCCCAACTGTTGTTTTCGTACTGAGAGATAATTTCTTCCTCTTCATGAACCTGAAACACCAATTAGGTCCTCCAGCAAAATTTTCAATTCCCATTTATCGAGCAATTGCTCTTGCTTGAATTCAAACTGTTGATACTGATAATCCACTTTCTCTCTGCTCTATTGTCTATTTCTGTAAATTGTCCTCTAAAACGGGCCAGGTTATAATACCAGTTCAATGAGATTTTTTATTCTTAGGCATTTTCTCTAATTCTTGTTCAGACATTCACCGTCGAATGCATAGCTCGTCAACTTGAAGTTCTTTAGCCGCGGCGCAATTTCCAATTTTGATTGCTTTCTTCACTGCTGAAGGCTTAAAATGCAGCTCTACAACTTTTTTTTCGAGTAGGAGCCATAAGAATAATAAAATTTTTAAAACATGAATGATAAGGTAAAAAAAAAAGCAAGCTACAAAGCAATAAAAACGTGTAAGAATGAACACAGCAATTGACAAGTAAACATAGCTGTTTCAAAAAAAAAAAAAAAAAAAGTCATAGGAAAATGCAGGCAAAACCATGGAGTTTAGCAGAAAGTATATGCATTCCCTATGCATCTAATTTTTTTTTTTTTTCCCCCTGCTAATTCTCAAGATGTTATGTTATCATGCTGTAACAAGAAAATTCAGATGCTTTTACTCTTATGCTAGTTATAGGATTGAAATCCTTTACTTTCTATTTTTACAACATCACATAACTATAAAATGGGTTGAGAAATTAATTTTTTGTCTTTAAATTCTTGTTTCTTTTCTTTTTTTTAGCTAATGTACATTAATTTCATTCATATTTTCTAAAAATTTAAACCTCAGGCTTATAAATGATTTAGCGCAATCTGAGGTTAAAATATTGCAGCAAATTCTAACTTGTGCATAACTTACAATCTGAATTAGCGAAGTGTTAAGGACAGAGTGAAAATAAAATTCCCTCAGATATGCTGCTCCTGCAGATACTTCACAAACTAAATTTTCAACTTCTAAACATGTATAAGCCGCAGCTTATCTACCCAAATTATGGTATATGAATTGTAAAGATTTTTCAAGAAATAAAATTTGAACTTAAAATTTATAAGCCAGTTGATAAAAGAAATTTGCTGGCTTATCAATTGCTAAATAGTAATTCAAGCAGTGGGAAAGAAAAACTCACAAACACAGAGAAAATTTTAAATAAATTTAAGAAGAAGAACAGCAGTGCCATCCAATAATATCTGGAAAGATTAGCACCGAGGAAAAAATAGCGAATATGTGCAGTGCAGGTTTGAATTTAAATTTTTTTTTATAATTAATATTGTATAATTTGACTCATTTGATTTTCTGCTATTTTCCCCCAAATATACTTATTGTCATTTGCCTTTATCCAATGCAAACATTTAACTGCTTTCCTTTATCATTCTATATACCGTTTTGTTTCAGGCATATTTACTCTGTGTTTATCTTTGGTAACCAGTACCATTTTCAAGGTTGCATATTTTGGTATTTTCAGAATGAACCAGGGTCGTGTAGTTTTCTAAATCTGTTCCATTCCCAGTATCTTTGATGTCGATGATTTTGTACAGTTCCTCAGTTTTGAAGTGATGTAACTAAAAATTTTTGATAACTTTTATTTAGAAACTCTTTAAGGGTGCACTAGTGCCAATATTTTTAACCCTGTGAGTGACAGGACCGCCTTTATCTGATCATAAGATTTTTTGTCACTTGTTATATATTACTTTAAACTTTTTTTACATTATTTCATGATGTAAATATTGTCTTAATGAATGAAAAGTTTATGAAAAGACATAATATTAAGTTTATGAAAAGACATAATATTAAGTTTATGAAAAGACATAATTAGTAATTATACAAATATAGCTAATAAATGCTCTTTAAATACAGGTGTTCATTATTCAAGAAGCCATATCATTGAGAGGGTTAGGAGGAAAATCTTTCTATGATGATCATTTTATACAATTCTTCAGTTTTGAAGTGATTTTTTTAGAAAAGTTTGAGAATCCTTACTTTGAAACATTTTAAGTGTCTTTACATGGACTGCTGTTGTTGACTAAATTTAAGAGGCATGTAAAAGAATTACCAACTCGATTGATCAAAATAAAAATACAAATTGTTATAAATACTTGTTAACGAGGTTATGTGAAGCGGAGACCAATGGCAGAACTGACTTTGTTATCAAAAAAGAATCACTATTAACTGAGTTAATATTGATTCCTTTTTTTATTATAAAAGCAATGTCATTGAGAGGGTTAAGAAGAAAATCATTATTCTAAACTAATAATGAACATCATTCTTATGTAATTATCTATGTGAAATTATCTTAAGGTCAAAATGATTGTTTTTAGAGTATTAACTTTTGAATTATTACAAACAGCTTTACTTGTTTTACTGTTATGCAGAAATTATTCTACAATTTCAAGACTTTTATCATATTCAATTCAATTCAGTATTTCAAGACTTTTAGCATGAGCTCCTATTCATACTTGTTGCTTATTATATAATCATGAGGTGAGATATTGCAGTGTGTAATTTGTAACGCAGTTGGATAGAATTAATTGCATCTATGAAAATCTAAATATTATATTGCATTTTCGTGTATTTCTTGTGTTGATTATAAAAATGATGTTTCTTTTCAGACTTTTAGGCCTTCACAAAATATTATCATTTGCAACAAATGAGTGGCAACAAGATATAATAAAAAATCAACTTCCTAGTCTTTTAGGAGGAGTAGGACCAATGCATTCCTTTGTGCAATTATGTAAGCCTTGTTAAATTAAATTTACGAAAGTGCTTTGCATTCTTATTTAAAAGTTTAAAAGATTTTATGACTTAAGTATTCTTTAAATACAGTTCAAGGTATCAAAGACTTGTTTTATTTGCCTGTGATGCAATACAGACGTGATGGGCAGATTGTAAGGGGTCTACAATATGGAGCATCTTCTTTTTCCACTTCTACTGCAATGGCCTTTCTGGATCTTACAAGTCGGCTAGTTGGTGCAATTCAAGTAAATACCTTTATTAGTTATTTATAGCTCGCACTGTTTTCTGTAAATTGATGAAAAATCATAAGTACTCTAAAAATAATCATCTGCCAGCCATGCTATGTCAGTGCATGCTTAGTGCATGCACATTTATAAAGAAAGGAAATCAAAAATTGTATAATCATGTTTGATTTATTAAATTATTTCATTTTTTTTTTTAAGTTAGATTAGTTAACCGTAACAAAGCATGCAAAATACATTAAACATTTTCTGAGGTGACCATTCATAATTCTGAAGAACTTTGGCTTTTTGTGAAGTTGGGTCATCTTAGAGAAGCCAGTTATCAGTGAGGTGATTATCAGTTTACATAATAGATTTATCCTGTCCAAACCGTGGAGTCTGTTAACATAAGCAGAAGTGCAGTATATTGATTTATTATAATAATTCTTTTGGATGAATCACAAATAATAATGTAGTAATATAAAAAAACTTAGGTAATGACAATTTTCTTAAATACTATAAATGACTAATATTTTATAATACAGAAATTAATACATAAAAATCCTTCCAAACATTGGGAGGACTTAAATCTTTCCAAATAATTTTTTTATTTAATATCTCCCAAAAATGTGTAATTCATTAAACATTTTTATTCAAATTATTTATTATATAAAAACACTCATTCTTCATGCTGAGTTTTGCCAACTTAATTTTCTCTTTTGATGACTGCATTTTCAAAAACAATTTTAACTTCTTAAATAAATCAGCCGTCCCATTATTCCCTAAATTACAACCTAATTATTTTAATTTATTTAATAGAATTTAGAGTGGAAGTTTTCAACCTTTTTTGCCCCATGTACCCCTTTCACCATTGCTAAAAGATCATTGCCACTCTCATTTCCCAAACTTGAAAAATAAATACTTTTTCGTGTGTTTCAAAAAGTGTAAAAAATATTTATAGATACCAAAACTTGAACAAAAATAATTGTTTATATCCATATACTAAAACTAAATACTTAACAGGTAAATAAAAGGCTGACCACATTTCTTCCCTAAAACTATGAAATTCCACTTAAGGGGAGAATTCCCCCGGGTTATAATCCCTGATTTAGAAATATAAAAAAATTTAGGTAATGACAATTTTCTTAAATACTATAAATGACTAATATTGCAGTGTGTAATTTGTAATGCAGTTGGATAGAATTAATTGCGTCTATGAAAATCTAAATATTATATTGCATTTTCGTGTATTTCTTGTGCTGATTATAAAAATGATGTTTCTTTTCAGACTTTTAGGCCTTCACAAAATATTATAATTTGCAACTTCCTGTCATCCAGAATTCTTCTGTCAGAAAATTGTTCCTGTCATCCAGAATTTTAATCCAAGATATAATTTCACTTTCAACTTAAACATATTGATACACTGTTACTTATACTTAAAAGTTTCTAGCTTATTTGGCTCAAGCAAACGAAATAAGGCCATTGTAAGAAATGTTCTTTCAAAAATCCTTGGAAATTTATAGATGTAGTGAAGAACTGGCGTCACATTTGAATGTGGTGGAAAGCAAATGATCATATCCTGTTCATTCAGAATTTTATAGAAACTAAGGTAAAACTTTCTGCCATAAACAAATTTTGAAAATTAACAGACACATTGAAAAGTGAATGCTGTATTTGCATTTTATTAACACTTTAAATAGTGAGTTTCCGTCAAATGAAGAACAAGAGAGGAAAGATTTTTAAATATGAACACTTAAGACAATATCAGTCTTATGATAAATGAACATTTGAACTTCGGACATAAAGCCTGGGTTTTATAGGAAGTTATGAATTAATGAGAGCCAAAAACGAATGCATAAGTTTTGCTGTTGTCATCTGTAAAAATGATGAGAAAAAAATATTTAAATACATAAGTTTTGTCTTTCAGAAGGCATAGAATTAATTTTCTTCATTATATCCTTCCATAAGTTTGACAGTTTACAGGCATGTTTAAGTCTGCTAATGGGAGATAAGACTTTTAGCAAATTTTAGTTACTAATTCAGAAGTCAAACAACAAAAATCAGCGTTATATTTACAAAATTTTCACAGGACTAGTTTCGATGGTTTTACCGAACCACCATCTTCAGCTGCAAAACCGCAAATGAACCAGATAGGAAATAATGATTAGATAAGATAAGAAAGCCTGGACAAGAATAATATTTTGTGGTTTTGCAGCTGAAGATGGTGGTTCGGTAAAACCATCGAAACTAGTCCTGTGAAAATTTTGTAAATATAACGCTGATTTTTGTTGTTTGACTTCTGAATTAGCATTTATTCGGCGTGTTATTGTGTCTTAAATTTTAGTTAGTTGTGATTAGTTTTGGAAATGAAATTGCTCACTTTTCAGGTTGACAAGGAGAAAGATCACTTCATTTCCCTTTTTGTCCAGGCTCAGGATACTGGGTTTTCAGTAAGCTTTTTCTGATAGGGTAACAATTTTATTTCTGGATTGCAAGATTTCAAAGTCTATTGTTTCCGCACTGTTTTCATGGTCCCCCCTTCTGGGCTGTAAATATTTGAGATATTATAAAATTTGCCATGTGGCTTAAAAGACATTGTAAGTATTTTCCTTATTCCCTTTCTATAATTTGCATGAATATATGAATTATCCTTCACCATGTTTTAAGCATCTATGCATGTTAAAACATCTTATCTATCCATGGCCAAAGCTCTGTCATGTAAGGCATTAAATTGGCTGCTTGTTGACTTGAAAGTCATAATCTTCACATTAAGGTAGAGGAAGATTTACCTGGTGAGTTGTTTCACTGTGCTAGGATAGATTTTCAGGCTTTTGTGTTCCTAAAAAGTCTCTGATTCCATTACAAACTCTGATGTCTCCAGTCCAATTTTGACTAGAGTATCATTTTTAAACCTGTAAGCATTTATCTGGATATCCTTCATACTTACATGGTACTTAATTACTTTGATTCTAACCAACTCAATCATAAAGCTGAACTTGTATTCTTGCTGTGGAGCTCCTTTAAAGTCAAAAATGGAATGTTTTCGAGAAACCTGCATGAGCTCTTTCCATTCCAAATTAGGTTGTGGGCAGAAAAAAAGTGATAATATGATCTTCTCTGACATATGCTCTAGTTCCTTAACAGTTTCTATTTGCCTTTTTTTTTTTAATGGGTGTAAATATATGCTGTTGTGATCTGTCTGTTGGGATTGTTCATTCTGATAGTTTTGCTAGCTTTTGTCTTTCTTAAGAGCTTGAATCTCCAAGATGAGTGAACTTACTCCAGAAGTGTTTCTGGAACATGTATTAACACCTCTTCATTACTTTAACTGAGTTTTAAGTATAAAATGTTGATAGGGTGTATTCAAAATAAGGAAACATACAAAATCTTTTAAATATTAGGGAGTTCAATTACTTGTTCAATTGTTGTTCAACAAAATTGTCTTTCATTTGAAAATCATAGTACCATTCTTAATTCTTCACCAATAAACCATTACTTTTCTTTTTTAGTAACAGATAACATGCATTCTATAAGCAGAAGTTTGAAACTTTTAATGCTGTGCAAAAATAGTTACTGCAAATTTGATTATTATGAATATTGTCTAAATTCATGCTTGTTAATGAGATCAGTTTTGGCTTTATTGCTGAAAAGTTGTTGTATGAATGAAATTAAGAAAGAAAGTTTAAGCTAATGTTCAAGTTTGCCTTACTATAGGAAGTTTATTAAAGATTTAGAAAGACTTATAAAAGTTGAATGAATAATAGAAGCTAGATCCAAATTTTTGTAAAACAAATTTTGTACAGTATACAATTTTTGTGTACTGAGATTTTTGTACGCCCAAAGGGACAATTTGCATCGTCCACTATAAAATAGCATTTCACTTTTCAAATTCTTGCCACCAAATATTAGAGCTCTGCATTATATTTAAATAAATTAAGTAATGAAGAATCTGCATGAATGTATGCATTTTTCTTGCATTTTGAAAAACAGCGGTACCTAGAGACATCAAATTTTGAATAACATAATCTTCCACTCAACAATGGGCATCTGGAAGCCCAAATTTTGAATTTGTTTTATGATCTATTTCATGTTTTGTGAAACTTAAACGAATTTTTGATTAACAAACTCAACAATTTCAAAGCGAGCAATGGCAACACTACACAGAAAAAGAAAAAAATTTATCTCCAGCATGTGAGACTGTATATCAGAAATTCTAAAGATATGCTCTTTTTAAATATTTTGCGAAGTACCAACTGAATAGAAAAAAATTTAAACGCAAAAAATAATGAAGAGCTGCTGACTATCAACTGATGAACCAAATTTACTGATTGTACTTATGTGGAACGTTTTCCCATTTAATTTTGGTCATGTGATCTGGCTACATATGTGCTGTGCCAAAGACAAAGCCCTAGCCTATTCATTCCATCTCTTTTTCCTTCAACAGCAGTCGAGCATATAAGCTCAGTTATATCTCTATTTTTAAAACTATAAACATTGTATCAACAACAAATACATATTCCTAGGCCTTCAGTTTAAAACCACTGGATTAGGGCAATTAATATTATTGTAATTTTGTTCCATTGAGAAGCTGCAGTTGAAATTTTCTTTAACTAAGAAGACAAAAGTAAAAATAAAAAAGTAGAAATGTATAAAAGCCTAAAACTGACATATGATTGCATTTAATATTGTGAGAGTTTCTAAATATTGAAATAAAGAAAAGAATTAAGAGATTTTGCTGCTATTGTAAGGCAGAAAAATTTATATTATCTGGAGCAACAGAAAAGTTGACAAACAAAGCAGTGCTGAAAGTTAGAAAATCTAGCCGCTGAAGATGAAGCACTGAAAGACATGCAGTGTTTCAAGTCAAGTAATTTAAAAAATAAATAAATAAAATAAAGCAAAACTAGGAGGACTTAAAAAAATAAGAAAAGAAATGTATACTAGAAAAAAGAAAATGAAGAATTTATTGTAATGACTAGCTTTTTAACCATAATATTCATATTTACATACCAAACTGTTTATCT